AGAAATCAATGCAATGGAGACTAAGAGAATGATACAAAAAATCAATGAAGCCAAGAGTTGGTTCTTCAAAAGAATCAACAAACTTGACAAACCCTTAGCCAATCTTATCAGAAAAAGGAAAGAAAAGGCCCAAATCCATGCAATTAGGAATGAAATGACAACAGACCCAGCAGAAATACAGAGGATCATCAATACCTACTTCCAGAACCTATACATCAATAAGTTGGAAAACACAGAAGAAATGGACAGATTCCTAGATACATATGAATTACCAAAGTTGAACGAAGAAGACCTAAAAATTCTAAATGATGCAATGTCAATCAATGAGATTGAAAAGGTAATTAAAAATTTACCAACTAAGAAAAGCCCAGGTCCTGATGGCTTCATTGCTGAATTCTACAAGACATTTAGAGAGGAACTACTGCCACTATTGTTTAAACTCCTCAATGAAATTGAAAGAGAAGCAATACTCCCAAATTCATTCCTGGAAGCAAGCATCACCTTAATCCCCAAAGCAGAGAAAGATCCAACTGGAAAAGAGAACTACTGGCCAATCTCACTAATGAACATAGATGCAAAACTCCTTAATAAGATACTGGCAAATAGAATTCAGAAGATCATCAAGAAGATCATACACCCTGATCAAGTGGGATTCATCCCAGGGATGCAGGGATGGTTCAAAATATGCAAATCAATAAATGGAATACATTATATTAATAGAGCCAAGGATAAAAACCATATGATTTTTCTTGATGCAGAAAAAAGCATTTGACAAAATCCAACATGCATTTATGATAAAAACTCTGCAAAAATTAGAATAGATGGTCTCTACCTCAAACTGATAAAAGCCATCCATGAAAAACCAACAGCCATTGTCATACTAAATGGTCAGAAACTGAAATCCTTCACACTAAAATCAGGAACAAGACAAGGACATCCACTATCACCACTCCTGTTCAGTATAATTTTGGAAACATTAGCCACAGCAATTAGACAAGAGAAAGAAATAAAGATAGGAAATGAAGAAGTCAAACTGTCATTATTATGATACTCTATATAGAAGACCCCAAGCACTCCACCAAAATCTTCTAGACTTAATAACCAAATTCAGTAAAGTAGCTGGA